TTCCGAATTGCAAAATGGGAAATCCGAGTTTCGCATTACGCAATAGGGAACCATAGTATAGGTCCCAATTGCAAAATGAACTTCGCGTGATCCTGCGACGGCAAATTTTTGCGGGGTCGCTGAAGCGGGATAAAAATTGTTTTTGAGGATTTTCTTTTTCTCAATAGTAAGTAAATACCCTCCTGATACGGAATTCATCATAAAAAAAAATCGAAAATTTGACCCTAGTTCCTTATTGCATAAAGCTGTCCAAATAATCAAAGAAAAATAATATTAAGTAAAGAAAAAACAACAAAGTAAAACATTAAAATTAAGTAAAGAAACAAAGGGGGAAAAATTAAGATAAAGTAAATTTTCAAAATAAAGGAAGGGGGGTAAAATGACAGTAAGTTCTCCGAAAAATACTATTTTTCCACTATTTAAGCGTGTGCGTTTGAAGAAATACATTCTTATACAAAGCTCTTTCTTTTCTGAAAAATCCTTAGCTTTTTCCATGAAGTTTAAAGCGCAACCAAGGATTTCAGGGATAAAGTGAAAGAAGTTCAATAAGTAGAGGTAAAAATGGAGTTTCAGAACTGTTTGCAAAATGATTCTGTTTTTATTTTATTGGGGTATCCTTGTTCCGTGAATTAACTTTTTCCATGGACAAACGGAAATTAATGTACAAGAAAAATTCGTTCTACAGATCGTGATCTGCAGTTTTGAGGTTTAAATTTTTATAATAGAAGATGAGAGAGGGGGATATATCTTGACAGAATAATATGCACTCTACCGAAGTCTAGTGCACTAAAAGTCATAAATAGGGTAATGCGGACTGCGGAGACGCTAACTTTAGGTCATGTCCGCATTTTTGAAAATACGTCAGTTTCGCGGGAGAGTCACCTGACTACATCAACTGAATGATTTGATTGGTTGAAAAATCACTCACGGAGGACCGGAGGGACCAATGAAGGACCGAGAAAAATGGAGAGGGGAGCCACGAGCCACCCTCAATCAAAACAGTTTGTAACGGCTTTTGAGAAGTTTGCGATAAATTCATTCTATTCTACGTTTACTTATAACGATAATAACGAATTGTTCAGTGTTCTTGTTCAACCGAAATCGAGACTATCTTGTGCGTTGTTCTCTCCACAACTGTTCAATAATTCAAATTACGGTAAGTTCGCTTCCTTAAGCGCCCTCGATTTCTTTAATCTCATTTCCAACTCTACTGTAATTTTTATCGTATGCCATGTTCCATCATGCTCTCAGCTCTCGAAAATTGTAAAATATCCGTTGTGGAAAGTTGGAAACCCATATGCCTCCTGATTTCGTTCATCAATAAGCCTCAAATAACGATCCTCTATATACATGATTTAACCTCTGATCAGAGTCTTATTGTAACACACCTTACGCCGTCTGTTTGCATAGTTATTTGCACCGAAAATTTAAGGTTCACATGGGTCCTACTTGCCGATGGTGTACCTTTGAAGTACAGCGGCATTACCCTTCCACATTTCATCTCATCCAAGAGAGAATAGTATATTGAGATTGCTGTACTTACACAAACTTCCAAACATTTCCAAGTATAGCAACTAAATCTGTGCATGCCATGTATCAACATCATTTGCTCGCTTTATTTACAAAATTTTCAGGTATTAAAAGCACAATAAATCTGGTGTTTTGTCACACTTTGCGAGATCACAGAACACAAGTACGGACCAATAGAAACGACTAATGTTGGTAACCTGGTCATGGAACGTTTTATTTGAAGCTTCATTCAAAGCTGAAGGATTTATTTCTTTTCAGTCAAAAATTGCACTCTTTCCTTATTTTTTCAGATGATGGGTAACTACAGTATGAAAGCTTGGATTGAAAGTACCACTGACTGTAATCATACCCCAAAAAATCTTCTACGGAGGCTGGATTCAGATTTAGACCCACGTTCTCCCACCATAGGAATTGCAAGAACTCCAATTTTTGTAAGTTCAACTAAATCTGTGTATGCCATGTATTCAACACCATTTGCTCGCTTTACCTATTTACAAAATTTTCTGGTATTAAAAGCACAATAAAACTGGTCTTTTGTCACACCTTGCATGTATCGTAAAGATATTCGTGAGGTTGCAGCTCTGCAGGCTAGAGTCTTTGCAAGGCATGTCGAATGTGAAACTACCAGACCATGTGTCTCGGTTTTCGATGTAGTAGACCTCCCGTCATAGGTACTTCATTTTTTACATGGAAAACCACTCAACGTCAATTTTTGAAAACTTCCGCAACTTTTCTTCTCCCTGCAAAGAAAACTCTGTGAAAACTTCAAGAAATGAAATTGATTTGTTCTCTGTCAAAAAAATAAAATGGAAGCACAGATTTTCAAACACCGCAAACGAAATATGTAGTCTGGTAGTTTCACTGTTGATGCACAATACTGTGAGATGTTTCCTTGACTCTCCGTAAATTACTCAACTGTGATAGTCTAAATATAACAGAGGGAAAAATAATTCTTCCAGAGATATGGCATCGTTCCATAACAGCCCCAAGTGCTATTCCAGGCGTTAGGGTGTCAAAAAAAATCCCACAAACTCAGCAGTTAACATTTTGAAGAATGATGACCTCCAAGAACAAGTTCAAAATCACATTAAGTTTATCAATGAATACAAAATTTTTAACGAGGTCCAGCCAACTAACAGTTTTTCACACATTTTTTAGAGTGCTTGAGAGACAGGTGGTGCGGCTGTCAGCAGGCTCGATTTCTTTGTCCACACCGAACTCTCCCCGACTGAGATTCTCACTAGCACTCTAAAAAATGTGTACAAAACCGTTAGTCAGCTAAACCTCGTTGGAAAATTCATATTTATCGAATAGGGCGTCTACAAGTTCGGAATTTCTGGAAAGTCCGGAAATAGTACTGATTTTGAAAGCGCGGTCCGAAAGTACTGAAAATGTGCGGAAATTCCGCTGTAAGGTCCGGAATTTCTCACTTTTGTCGCAATTTGATTGAACAATTCTAATTTTTAAAATTTTTTGAATTTTGTCGTAAATGGAGGTACTGAAAAAGTACTGAATTTTTCTGTTGAGGAGGTACTGAATTTCTCGGGAATGTACTGAAAAAGTACTCATTTTTGGACAGCTTGTTTTAGTAGACACCCTATTGAATCATAGCCAATGACAAACTTTTGTAAAACGTCATTTGTTATAATTAATTTCGGTACATCTAAAATATGTTTCAAAGTCAAGAAAATCAACAAAAATTGTGACTTGAAATCGACTCATAACTTTACATTTATGTCTAGCAGTGATCATTTTCAAAGATTTGATCTGCATGAACAACTGTTTCAGAAATGTCCCTTGTAACTGTTTAATCAATGTCTTTGTTATAGGTGGAAAATTTTGATGATTCTATGTCAACTCTTGCCAGCTCAGATTCGCCCCTCTCGATGGAATATGAAGATGCCAACTCTGCTAGCAAAAGTGACACAAGCATTTCATGTACTGACCCTTCCATGATAATCTCAGAATTGAATTTCTCAGAAGAAGAATCAGTTCCCAGTAGCAAAGCCCCTTTGCCAGAGGTACGTATGCACCATTTTGTGATGTATCTTATCTAAGTAAAAAGGCTCTCCAGGCCGTCAAGAGGCTGTATTATGATAACCATAACTTGACGGTGTAAGTTGGCAATCACATAACTCGGTTTGCGACGTTGCAGACTTCCTGTTATACTTTATTTTTAAATGGAAAACTACTCAACGGCAATTCTTCAAAACTGCCTTGATTTTTTTTCTCTGTGCGCAGAGAATTCTGCAAAAACTTCAAGGAACGATATCAGTTTGTTCTCCTTTTAAAAAATATCATAGAGGCGGAGATTTTCAGACACCATAAACGAGAAAAGTGATTGCCGACTTACACCGTCGAATTATTTTTATTCTATCTGATTATTTTCTGATTATCTCTCTGGAATTGATGAATGGATTTCAAAATGTAGGTGTGGATTTCAATTTATATTTTTGCAAAAGAAAAAAGGATAAATTCACTTAGAGGTAAAAACGTCAAAAATTTGTTCGAATGTCAGAGAGTTTTGTGTCTCTCAGCTTTATCTTGACGAAGTATGCATCTACTAATTAACATTCATGAAATTAAGTAAGTGTTCTTCATTTTTTTTTCCTGCATGAGTCATTCTGATCAGTTAGTTGCACTTTGTCCTAAATTATGTTTTGCTGGGTAAATCTTTTAAATTTATAAAAAATTTAAAAAAAATCTTTTCATTTGACAATAAATAGTTTTTATCGCTAAAATTAATGAGAAATTGTCCGAGAAAAACTCGGTGTTCTATGACAGCTACCACAATTTTGTATTTGGTGATTTCTTTCTTTTTAGTTTTATCAATCAGCATTATGCTCTCTGTATTTTATTGATTTAACTAGAAGTTAAGGAGCCATTTCATGCCTCACCACAGATTTCTGATGTTGATTCCTGTGTTTGTCTGAGGTTGGTAACTCAGTTGAATTAGACCAGAAACTTTGTGTGTCGATAGATTTTATTCCTTACAACGTAATTAACTTGTTACTCAAAGATTACTAATTTTCATTTCATACTTTTGTAGTTTTCTCAAATGTTCCTTTATTGCTCTGTAGGAAAAAGAAATGGAAATAACTCCGCCAACACCCTCGACACCAGTGTCCGTGTACCTTGATGACAAAGATGTTGAAATTCCCAGTTCTGATTCGAAGGCTGAAGTAGTAACAACTCCTGAGCCCAAGCATGCTCCTAAATCTGTGTCTTTGACCCCAGTTTCCAGCAATCCAAACGATCCTCTGTTCGATGTGAGAAAGAAACTTTTCAACGCAACACGGATGGGCCGGAAAGTAAGTTGGACTACATTAATCCTCCTTCTGAAACATCCTCTAACACATGAAGCACAATTTGTTTCTTATGCACCTAATGCTCTTTTGATTGGGCTATACAACCATATTGTCGAACAGTGTTATCAAGGGAACATGATAATAAGTCAAGTCTTTTGTTTAAGATCATCAACAACTTAAATCCATCTTTTTTCATAATCTCAAGTGTGATCAGTAGAAGTAATGTTCGCTCTTTCCATGTTCTACAATATTTATTGAATTTTCCTTATTTTATCTTATTGAGTCCTCTTTCATTTTGCAGCCCTTGGAAAATGTTCAGAATACAGCATCACCGCAACAGATTCTGAGAGCAAAGCAGTGGCGTGACTTTCAAGAAGAGAGAGTCAAACGTGGCATCATGTTGGATGAGAACACTCCACCTCCCAAATTCGATGGCTGCGCATCAGCACCAGGAAAGTTAGCGACCCGGCGAAGGCCTCTTGCTCTTGCAGATCCACCAACATCATTCCAATCTTAATCTCATCATTTACCAAGATTCTGCGATTATTTTTAGTCACAATTTTGATAGTCAAGTATGGGAGTCTCTAATTTCTATAATCATTCTCATTAAATAAGACCTTCAATGCCTCTCGGGTGCCATGAGCTGAGTAGTTCCGGCCAAATCTCTGAGCTGACTCCTAAAAGGAGACAAGATCCTTTGTCTTCATCTCAGCCTGGAAGCTAATTGTAAAAATTAATCCTCTCCTAAAGGTGGCCAAGGAAATTGGTGCAAATTCTTTCTCTCTTCCTTATTGGTAGTTTGTCTTAATCTATGAAAAACTTTAAAATTTAACCTTAAATGAGGCTATTCATTGTCATCAAAAATATGATCTTGCCATTATCAAACTTTCAATAGACATTTTAATTTTACTCATAGCAATTTAGCTCCGCTGAAACACCTAGTCGCAGTCTTTTACATTTTGAAAATAAGGAGATGTTACATTATTCCTACTCTCGAATTTAGCACTGGCTGTAAGTGGGACTTCATAACTGATATTGATTCGATGCTCTGATATATCTGAGTTTTATAACTACCCGATTTTTTTTTTTTTCCAAAATGACAGGATACAACTGCGTGGTTTTGTTTTTGTTGTTCATTGTAGAAGAAACACCTTATGGTTACCTAAATACTGGGTTTTGTTACCTCTGCTCTTTCAAATTAACTTAGAATGTTCTTTACAGCTCTAAATTGAATCTAAAGCAAATTTAAAAATGCATGAAGACATCAAATATTTTTTGTTTAATACCAGTTCTGCTCACACTTTAATCTGTACAGCTGATGGCCAATTATAGCTGTTCATCTCTTTCACTAACTATTGATAAAGAGTTTCTGACTGAGCTCTCAAAATTACCACAATGTAAAACATTGATGATTAATCACAAGAGTGCAATAACCATATCAAAGTGGTGTGAGGTTTTCAAAAGAACATTCCTGAGGTAGAATGCTGGACATTCTTTCATTGAAAATTCAATTTTTAACTGAAGAATTGAAAGCAGAATCAGAATTCCGGCCAAACGAGCTTCTGACTGAAATTTCACTTCAGGTAACTGCCAAGATTGACTTCATAATTCTTAAACTTTCTTGTCCATTGTAATGGGTAAACAATAATTGTATTTGACAGAAAGAAAACCCACCCTAATGTATTGATTTTACGGCTGGGATTCCTTTCAAAAATCATGCGAGCAATCAGCTCTAATTTTCCAGTAGAATCATCTGAGGCTACATTTTGAAAGATGAACTGTGCCATTCTTTTGTTCTTAAAATTCAATCATGATCATGTTTAACCTCCCTATGTACTATTTTTGTTCTAAATGTAGGTCGGAACTTTTTTATTCAGTATTTTTCAAACCAACATGCCTGACATCCGCATTTGTGTATCACCATTCATTTTGCAGTTGGCCATATTTTACATATTTATGACAGTTAAAGAAGTTCAAAAGTATCTGCTCTGCTCAAGTTACATACTGAGAATGTAATATTGTAAATACTCTGGCAAAAGCCATCAATTGTTTGTAAATTAGTGACTTAAGAATTTTGTAAATGTTTTCCATAAATCATGATAACTTTTCCCTCCTTTTTAAAAATGTTTATTGAATTCCAGTGGATTGAGGACATTCTTGTGATCAGTTGCAATTAACACTCCTGTCTATAAAATTTATCTTCCTCTTCTAAGCACCCAGGATTCTAATTTGCTCACTCTCTGGATGATTACATTTTTCTCTCTACAATAATTCAGTAAATCTTCTTAAGCTTTTATTTTGTTGGAAGATGTGCTAAATATTTAAAGGCAACACAGGATTTTGTGATTATTTCAAGTTTTGGAGAGTCATTTTTTGAAATTCTCTGAACAGCACTTTACTCATCAATTTAGTAAAATTGCTCCTTGCAAAAATATCAGACTTGATAAATCAGCATAAAATTATGGAGTTTTGGAGACATGATTTTAAAACTGCACCTCAAAAACCAATCTTCACTAAAAAAGGAAAAGTACGCAATTGCGCTATCTTTAATTCTTCCTCTACTTGTAGAGATCTTATGGAATAACTTCTACAACTTTTATCTTTCTTTAATTTTGAAGTATTCTGCTCACTGAGAGTGAAGAATGTTATTGAAAATGAACTTTTCTGAATGTAGTCGTTTTTCCTCATTCAAATCTGTACCACTATTTTGTTTTTGAACCTGTGATCAAATTTTGTAATTTGTAACAATAAAACATAATGAATAATTCAATCTACATCACTCATACCTTCAAAAAACCCTTAAAATAAAGTAAAGGGATTGGGGGCAAAGAAAGAAATGAATAATTTAAAAATTAATTTTGCATTTTTTTTTATTTTTAAGATTTTTTTAAATTTTATTTATTTAAAAAAGAACATTATAATACATAAAATAAGAATTTTAGTGAAATCACCCAAAGGTAAAGTTTTACGATACAAAATACACAATTTTCAAAAGTTTCCTATCGTTCAATCCTGTTTTTATACAAAAGAAAAAGATATACATACATATAAGATATTTATTACATACATATTCAAATGATATTTATTAAGCTGAAATATATTTATGTATACATATGCATAATTTGAAGATTCACAAGTAACCAAAGAAAAAAAAATATTCCTGTACAAAACAATATCAACTGTACACCTCACAACTTCGAAAAAGAAAAATAAAGAAAAGAAAAGAAAGAAACATGGGGAAAACTCAGTCAACAGTTCATTAGATAACGAAGAAAATAATAAACTGGAAATTAGCATCAGTTAAAATTTTCATGGTTAATGCACAATTCAACAGGAAATAAATAAAAAAACTGATGATACAATTCAATAAGAACTACTCATTGATTCATTACAGCGTATGTGAGTTACATAAAACTTAAACAACTAGTTCGACTGGAAAAAACCTAATATTTACAAAAGTGAAGGTTGTATGACAATGTAAATGAAAAAAAAAATTATCAGAGGTCAAAATTTCGGAGGGAAATTTCAAAAAGTCATTCAACGCCATAAACATTTGAGTTGGATCAGAACATAAAAAATTAGAAGAAAAAAAATCTTTTAACATTTTCAACTGTGTAAGTTCTAAAATTTCTTGATAATTTCTACACGCTGACGTGCTCTCAACTCAGCATTTCAAACCCTAACAGTTCCTTAACCATAAAAAATTAACTGTTTGTAATGAAAGCAATAACAATAGTTAAATAGTGGCTATAATCAAATTAACAAAACAATTACAAACAGTCGTTGAACTAGAATTGAAAAATAATTACAAAATTGTAACAAATTCGAAATTAGTTAATATCTTTTGCCGTGAGAGAAAGCTATATTGACTATTTACACAAAGGATACAATTTATAATGAAAATTATTAACTGTTGAAGCTCACTTCTTAAGTGAAAGAATCATTAGTTCTTAGAAGAACCAATTCTCTGCTCTTCTAGAAAATGTTACTAATTCATTATTATCAAATGTTAAAATAGTAGCTCTAACATCGTAACTTTCTACAAAATGCACAGAATTGTTTTGTAATGCAATTAGATTGAACAAGTATAAAATTATTAGTTAAACAATTAATGCCTGATGAAACATCTATTCATCACAACTGAGTCCTCATACTTTCTATTTGAGAAGGTGCTGCAGCTTTCTTTCCAGGCAAATTACATAATTCAGGGCCCAGATAAATTTAGAAACTCAAATTTGTTTTCTTTCTATTTCAGCCAAAAAGGGGGGGAGGGACAGGCAAACTAACTGAGATTTTAGGAATTTCAATTTTAAAACATTGTATGATGTACATAATACAAACGAATTTCAGACAGAGATAGAGAATTGGACAAAGGTTTCAAAATGAACGCAGTTTGCTGCAAAATCGTTTTTGATGAGCAAAATTTCAACAAAACGTAAGTTTCACTCAGTCAGAATTTTGAAGATTAGAGACCTAAGGGTGACTCCTACAAAATAAAACACTGATGTGGTAGTGGTGGTTCAGTTTGAAAATGATAAACAATTTCAGGCTAATGCTGAGTTCTTTTCTACCGCTCAGACCCTGCTTGGCTCTTAAAGCAAAAAAAACACCAATGTTTCACTTGAGAAAATTCAGCTCATCACGATTGTGGGTGCAAAAATAGAGGTTGTCTGCTTCTAATATTTTCATACTTAGCCAGCACGACAACCTCAGAGTGAATTGTTCCGCTGGAGATAATACCACCAGATTGAGAGTCAAAGGTCGGTACCGAGTACTTATTTTAATAAATGAGAGAGAGAAAACTGAGAGGTAGCATAGTACAAATAGAATATAAGAAATTCATTTGCTACAAATCAATTTTGAACAAGGATGATTGGAGGACCACCAAGTTATGTCATGAGTTTCGAATACATACATGATACAGTTTTCAGACCTGTACCCGTCACTGAAATTTTTTCAAATTTATCGGTTGGGTTTCTCCGTTAAAGCATTTGCCACGTCCTCAAAAGAATAAAAAGTTCACAGGCTTGAAAAAAAAAAATGCACTTTTAAAGTCTTGGCAGGATACATAACAATTTGAAATGTTAACTACATTATTCTAGGGTGAAAAATACCACAGACTAATACAGCTGAATCCCAGCTGGTACAGAATGACTCGAACCTTGACTTGATTATCCACAATGGGCAGGCAGTGAAACAAGATTGATCAAATACAGCGGAACTTACTGGTTCGGGCAGCGATAAACCAAGGTAATTTATGGAAGTCTCCTAGGATCTAGGCAAAGGAGATATTGAAGGAGTGCAAAAATGTAACTTCTAAAAAAGCAATAGAAGATATACGATCTGTCAATGGGACAATGAAAATGGATTTACCACTTGAAAAATCACATGCATTCCTCTATTCAATGGCTATGGTCAAATTAGGTGACAATAGATAATTAACCTTTCATTTGAATATTTTCCACTGTACAGTTTCTCAGGTCTATGATGCTAGGCTAGCAGGATAACCCTTTGCGTTACAGCTTAAAATACTTAAACTCAAAATCAAATAGATAGAGGGAAGCAGATGCATCATGTATCAGGTTCAGATTCGGTGATTGGAATAAGTCTTAAACTTGACAGAGGGGAAGGGGGCTTGCAAAAAAATTAATAATACATACAAACAAAAAGAATAATATAAGTCATATTGCTGAGGGATTTTTTTTCAAATTTTGAAAAAAGTTTATATTGTCATAGAGCAAGGAGTCTGAATATTAGTCTGAAATAATTAAGTATGATAACAATTACATGAGAAAAAAAAACGAAAAAAAACTTGAAGAGAGTAAAGTCAAATGAGCAAAACTAGTTTCAAAACATGGTTCAGTTCAGACAGCATTCAATTTCAAATAAGATAATTAAAGTCAGAGGTTACCCTACCTTCAAAAATAAAACATAAAAAAGGTTTCTGCTATTAAACCTGGATGTACTTTCCATGTTTCATCAGAGAGAGAGAAAGAGAAATGAATCTTAATTTTAAAAAAAAAATCGAAAAAAATCAAAGCTTAAGAAACTTAATCGCTTTTGACATGTTGCTGTCAAAAATGTTAGTGTCGGAATAAAAAAATACGTAATATTACAAAATTTTATACAAATTGTATCCAGCCAGTAAAATGAGATCAAAAAATGTACATGAAAGTGTTAATCCTCATCAGATAAGGGTTCGTATTGAGCAGATAAGAGTGGTGCTGGTTCCGGGGGGATGTCCGAGGAGCTCGAGGAAGGAGGTGCACCAGTTTTCACCACTGCGTTTGTCGCCGAAACAGGGACAGGGGGTGTTACTTGCGAATTGAGGTGAAGCGCTGAGTAAGGATAAGCGTAAGTAGCATTAGCCGTCGTTAAGAATGGCTGTGGAGGTGGGGGTGGATGGGGAGTCGTCGATGGTTGAGGACGTGGCGATGGATGCCGTTGGCTATCCGATTCGTCCATCATCATGTCACCGCCACCGCTGGGACTCCCATCCGATCGGGACTTGTTGTTGCTGTCTTCCTCCGATGTTCGCATAACTTCCACAATTCGATTTTTCACATAATCTAGAGGGGAAAGCGGTTGCTCAGTTGAGTAATATATTTGACCTGCTACCCTCACAACGTTCCTTTCTTCGTTCTTGTCGCGAGCATTTGCAGCGGCAGCTGCTTCAATTTCTTTTTGCTGCAACACTCGGCGTAGCTTCCAAGCTTGAGGTTCATATCCAGGATACACTTGCTGCAATGTAAAAATTAGAAAAAATTAGTCAAATAATAGTGGCAAACACTAATTACCAGTCGAACTTAAAATGTCCGTTGCACCTTTATATCAATTTTATGTAAAGAGACTTGGCATTGATTTCTTCATAGGTGCTGTAGTTTCTTGATAAATAACATTACCATCAAGCCACATTAAGTATTCAAAGCTTCTTTTTTTTCTAACTGGGAAATTTTTTGAAATTAATGTTTTGTAACTTCGGAATCCATGAAATACACTCACGTTTTTACAATTGAAATTAGAATAAACCATAGTCCAACCAAGAAAAGATTTTTTTTTTTTTTTTTTTAAAGAGTTTTATTTACTGTAACTTCCAATTAGAGGCAACATATACAATTATCATAAGTTAGAAATAATGTATGGTACAGAAACGACTGGTTAGCTGCTTATTATCATAAAATTAAAGCAAGAAAAGAATAATGATATAAAAGGAAGATAACAACTACACTCACCTGAGGCGTAGGTGTTCTTGGCTGGGCAAAATCTTTGTTTATTATTGCATCAATGTGATCTCCTAAAGTGATTAGCCGTTGAGGTTCTTTGTCAGGACTAGCTGTTAGGGGAGGCTTCATCGGAGAAAGTTTCCCATTCTCTGTTTGCTGAGGCCCATCCCTGTGAACACTCTGGAAAAAAGCAAAAAATAAACAAATTAAAAACTTGATAGGATAGGAAATTTGTACATCTTCTCACTGCAGAAACTGAGTTTAAAAGAGATTCATGATAAAGAGAAGGATCCATCATCCCTTGGGTCATAAGAATGAACGCCACCTCACTAGATTTGGTCCAAAAATTCCTTAATCCATATTCCTAATAACTTGAACATTTTCAAACTCACTCAAAAGTAGGCGATTTAGACTGCATTAACGTGTTACTTGATCTTCAGAGGATCCAACCCATCAACATTTGAAAACGACAAAGAGTGAATAATTAAAACAACGGAGGAAAACTGCTCTACCGCTGCTCTTTAGACAACATTCATGCTGAGAGCACTAACAACTATCCTATCTCGACAAGCTACCTCCTTAAATAATGTTGCAATAAACTGAATCGGAGAAAAAAACCATTTGTTCACTATTTATTCCCCTTCTAGAAAGAGATTACCATACCTACATCTGAGCATCAGGAATGGAGAAGACAAGATAACACTACATATGCTGCTGGGTAGATTATTGAAGACCAGACGTCATTGGTCATAAAACATGGTTTCCCCTTCGACACGGTTTGAAGTAAACTTACCTGAAACAATCTATCACCAGCACGAGATCCTAAAGGCTGATTCCCATGACCTTGCGGACCAGAATCAGAAGTCTGGTTGATTTGGTGGGTGATGATCGCATCGATGAGACTAGCGGCTGTTAGAGTGGAAGACCTGCTTGTGCTTGTTTGACTAGTTGGAGTTGATGATTCTCTGATAATGAAACAAAAATATTTAATATTAAGAGAGCAAGAAAACAAGGGCTGAACAGGAACCAAAAGTTAAATGATTTGATTTAACGAGAGCTTAAACCACTGTGGTCCAATTTTTTTCACCCAATTTCATGCGAAACACAAATTAAAGGACTCAACTTCCTTCGGGTGGAGAAGGTTCATATGATATTCAGGTCTGAAAAAATTTTCAGGATATTCTCTGTCTCAACTCTCCAAAAAATATGTACAAATTGATTTTGAAATGGTTTTTATATTACATACTGTCCATCAGAGAAAAAAAACTGAAACTGAGATGTTGGTGTAACCATTCAGGAGAAAGCTTGTTAAAAGTATGATATGGAAAATACAAACCAAATTTTAAATCCAAAAGGAGAATTTGAGATAGTATAAGAGACAAAATTATAGAAAGTATATTCACTAAAACTGGAATGGGTAAAATTACCTGGATTCTGGTTGACTTCGACTAACAGTTTGTGGCGTGCCTTCACGCGAAAACGAATGAGGCGTTGAAACTTGTATGAGTCGTGCTTGTTCATTTTCGCTGGGAGACGACTGAGGCAAAGGCGTCATCCTCTGTTGATAACTCGGAATGTGCTGCATCCTCTGTGCCTCTAGTAACCGCGATTGGGGATTTGAGTGTTGCGATTGTTGTTGCTGTTGCTGCTGCGACTGCTGTTGCTGATGTTGTTGTTGCTGCTGCTGCTGTTGTTGTTGTTGCTGATGTTGCTGTTGCTGTTGTTGTTGCTGATGTTGCTGAGACTGCTGCTGCTGTCTCATGATATGCTCGTGCGCAAGTTGATTATCACGCATCTGTTTTGCCCGCGATAGCTGCTGCTCCCTTTCCCTTTCCCGCTGGTGCCGCAACATGTCGCGCTCCCGTTCTGCCCTCTCCTGTACTTCTTGCTGTTGGCGTTGCTGCATCTCTCTTTGTTGAGCCAGATGGATTTCTCTTTCCCTATGTTGATGTGCTGCTATTTGCTGTTGCACCGATGGATGTTGGGAAATTTGATGATTTTCACGGATAAACCTATCTTGTTCACGGCTGGGAAACCTGGAAAAAAATAAATAAATAAGAAGTAATACGACAAAAGCTAACAAATTTATCATTTCCTATTCTCTTTGCACTAACTTTTTCAGTATCATTTTTTCACTGTTTGATACAATTTAAAGAAGTGTCACTAAAAGTGCCCCCCCCCCCCCAAAAAAAAAAAATTATTAAATAGGATGGTCAAGAAAAGTTTGGTCATCATATTTCAACAGACTGATGAAATTCGGGCCTGCACAAAGTCAAAATATCACAAATATCTTGTCCTACTGACTGTAAGAGTTACTTTCATAGATTGACGTCAATATTCAACCTGATGACTGGTGCAAATTGGAATGTTAAGCAATTTTTGTGGCAGACTCCTTCAGAAAACTGCATTGTGAATTGACTGACAAGGCTTTTCCTGTTCTCAGTCCTAAGAGATCAGATTGTCCTGTAGGAGCCGTAATAAGCGGAAAACATCAAACCAAATATTGATATTAAATTAGTTCAAGAGCAAAATTCAAAATACCTTTCTTGAGCACTATCTCGGTTGAACCTGTCACCAAGGCCTTCGAAGCGTTTGTCATCTTTGTGTGGATGAGGGTCCGGGATCGGCACTGGGAGACTGGGCTGACGACTGGCCACGTCAACAAGCGAACTGAAGGCTTCATGTCCGGGTGGGTAGTGATGCGGAGAGGGCGGTTTGCTAGTGTTATGCCTCTGAATAACACCTGAAAAGTTATAAGTCTTCCATCAGTTGCAAATTCACTTCATAGATAATTTTCAATAAAAAATTTTGAGGTCAAGAGTACACCACAGCCTTTTCAAGGCTTCCTTGGGATACAAGGAATCATCTTGTGCCTAATGAGATTCCAAGCAACTTTCGCTAGTACACCATTTCTGACCACAGATGCTCAGTATGATTTTGTGTTTGTATTTTAAGGAAGGAATCCTTTCAGATAACAAGCTTGAAGACAAAATTCTGCCGAACTCCCCCCCCCCCCCAATTTGGGCTGCCCAGAAAATGGATGGAATAATTGGGCGACTTTCAGACTTCATCGGGTCAGTTGCTATTTTTGCATTGTGTGCACGGTACGCTGTTTAACATCTTCTGCAAACAGTGATGTCATCCCATAGAGGATAATCATTAAATCTCAGCTGGCAAAAGATAAACAGTGCTTAAGTAGGCGGACAGTTAGAAGTAAATGCCGACTATTACGGGAAAATTTTTGTTCCAAAGCAGTGGATATAATAAGAGAACAACCCACCTTGTCTTGTAGGCTGATAATAGACTTTATCAGGAGTGGACGGAGGACGACGGGTGGTGTTGGGTGCAGCAGAGGTGTGCATCTGTTGCGATGTGATATAATCATTCATGATTATTTGACGTTGTTCAGCCGTATAAGCTGCCGCAGGAGGCCTTGGAGGGTAGAAGCCTCCAACAGGGGCTGAGGAACTGTTGCTGTTGCGGGAATTGGCTCCTTTATTACTATTTTGTACATAGAAATCTGCACCGTAAACGCTGTTTCCCCTCTGATGAACTGGAGTTCCTGTGAAAAAGAAACCCAGAAACAAATTACTGATTAGATTAATAAAACCAGGGAAAACATAAATAAATAAATTCAAAATTACCAACTGTAGACACAAATCAACAGAAGAAGCAAAATTTGACAAAATATTGATTAGACTTAAATTTGCACCAAAATTGAATAAATTATCGTTTGATTCGTCCATAGAGAACCCTGGTAAACAAGTGGAGTCAGTGGTTCTCTGTACATTTAGATAAAACTTTGATAGGTTAACGTTAAGCTTATTCCCAACAACAATTTCTGCTCTGGCTTTGTAGACATGACGTGCATTAAATCTCATAGGGTCGGTGAGGATGTTTCTTTTTTATTTTATTGTAAGCTTCCAATACAGGAAATATATTCAATTTCCTTAAATTATAAGTAATGTATGTAGAAGTAACAACAGATTAATTACTTAATATCATAAGAGTTAAGAAAGAAAGTGGTAAAATAATTGACTAGCTACAGTTAGTCAATTAAATAATTTTAAATATATGGTGAAGATATGAGCTCCAACTTTCGACAGTTTTCTAAGGTAAGTGCTGTAGCATAAATTACCATAACTATGCATAATTTTTTGACAACCCACAATTTAATCTAGTTTAGGGAGTGCCGGTAGCTGATTTCTAACTTAGTGCTCAACAAGATATTCACATGGAGAACATAACAGATTCCTGACCATTGGAACTTACATTGATACCTTAAAAGTTTCGTACTTTTTTTGAATTTTGAAGGCCTACAGATACTCTACCAAGTTTGAGCTCTCCGTATAGTTCTAGATCAAGGGACTACCAATGCATTCCTACACTGTCAAAAGGGTATTATAACTCACCTTGCGTGATAGAGCCTGGAGGCGATTCCTTGACCTGGGGTGGTGTCATCTGCCTGAGTAGATTTCCTGGGTCATAATGGGACTCTTGTGACGTTGGATACATAGACGAGGGTGCCGAGACAGGAGTCCCATGCATGATAGAGCCACCTAATTTGTTGCTCAGAGGAGGCGGCCCTGGCGTTCCTTCCCTTGATGGCCCTGTGCTAGGTGACAACTTTGGAGACAGTTTTGAGTTCGGTAATTGTGGGGAGCCCAGCTACAAAAAACATTCAATAAACATGAAATTAATTGAACAACCGAACAAAATAGAGTTAGACATTAATTATACAGCTAAATAAAGCAGACAGGCAGTCTGAATAATAATAAATCCCGAGATTTGTATGACCAACGAACGCCCGATGAAATCATGGCTGTGTCAGTTTTACTGGCCCTGAATTCGCCCTCTACCCTTCATTTTTAGGTGTCAAAGCTTTACGATCAAATATACTTCACAGATGATGCCCCGATGAGTTGCAACATAGTTTGCGACTTGACTTAAGTGAGGGCATGATACCCTCACTTCACACTTTCGACTGAATTTTAGGTTATACATCATAATTCTTAATGACACTGCCTTGGCTCTCATTAACATTTGATAAAATTGGCTCACTTTGGAGTACTTAACAACACATGAACTTACACACACTCAGTGCTGCTGAAAGAGAGGGTGAGTAAAAGTTGCACCCTCTCCTCCTCTAATTCTCTCAAAATGAGAAACTGCAAAGGGAAGTTTTAACAGATTTCTGGACTAACCCCCTCAACTTTGAACTTAGGGGCTTTAATTTCATTTGTAAATTGTAGCATCTCCACTGTTGAACCTTGTGCGCTGTTCATGTTGATAAATAAGACAGGAAAATAACAGAGAAAATTTTAAAATAACTTTGCCACTAAAACTTTCAATTCTGATGACATACCAAGAGTGAATGGACAAAAACCTGTGGTTCTCGATTGTAAAAATCTTGTAGCCAGTGTCTAAAGCAATTTTCAGGTTTACTGAGCTACTAAATGATATTTAAAACACTCTTTTCTTTGAAAGGTAATGGGATGATTTAACCTTTATTGACATAAGGGGTGCTGGCTCATAGATGTTGCACATTTGATGATAATTAGGCATTGAAGTTTAGTCTAAAGAAAATTCTAACTTTGGTACGAACCTTGTTTGGTACTTTGATGTGAGATGTCCTGACAGTGAGCAGAGGCTGTGAGTGAGGTGTCATCACTAGGTGAGGAGTGGGTGTGTTCGTAACAAAAATGGAGGGAGATTTCGAAATTCGACCAGCCTCAACAACCTACAGCAATATTTCAGAACATTTTAACATACATATTTAACATTTTGAAAGGTTTTAAAATTTTTTAGCAAGTTATCAAGACAGGCAGAGATAAAAACAGCTTCGTGCATTGCACAGGAATAAAACGACACCTAGATTGACCACCCAAAAAAAAGTAAAGATAAAACTTCAATTTTCAATTTTTTCTACTTTCCATGACTTCAATTTTTACAGAAATAATTTTAGGGGATGGCATCATGAGTGGAACAAATGGCAATGATAGATATTTTTTTACGACTAGCACTCTAGATATAAATGAAGACAAGGGATGGCGAAACTTAGAAAATGTACTGAAAAGTAGAATGGTAAAGTTGATTTGCTTCAGTCTCATGAGAGTTTTCAAATTAAATTCTGAAGCTGTCTACAGACTGCACTGATACCTAATAATGTGCTTTTTCCCCAAGATTTTCTGACTGTCATACTAGAGACGCAGCCTGTATATTGCCCTCGATTTTTCTCTCCAGGACATTTCAAACTCAACTTAAAGTTCAAAACTTGCAAAGTTTGTGAAAACTTACGTGAGGGTTGTAATAGCCTTCCGGTGCATGGGGAGTCGTGCGATAAACTGTCAGAGGAGGGTGCGATGCTGTGACTTTATCAGCATTGCTAGATGGAGGAGCACTTGATGTAAATTCATTACTACTAACACTACGAGGTTTCTTGATGCTTAGATCTAAAGTCATCGGTTCTGGCTCTCTATTTTCACGCAGAGCCTGCTGCACCTGTAACAAAGAATTAAACATTGTAACACACTAGCAGGACTCTAACATGCTAAATCTCTTATTGAGAAAGTTCAAGGCATTACTCGTTATTTTTGACAAGGAATCAGCCCACTTTCTAAAATAAAATGAGTAAAATGAAAAAAAAAGAAGAAAAAGAAAATAGATGAAAATTTTATTTTCATTTATTTACATCTCAGTTGTGACAAAAGATACATACCTGAACAACAACTAATCCTTCTTTGGGAAGATCTTGCGGAGCAACATGCTGCTGTGCATGCTGTGAGCTCACAACGGACAATGTCGCAAGATTGCTGTTTTCTTCTCGCGGTTTGAGTTCTCGCACTGCAAACCCGTGGTCCATTTTCAAAATTGAGGAAATAGTTGGAGGCATAGATTGCTGAAATAAAAAAAGAAAAACCAAAATAAAAAAATTGAGTTGTGGATACAGCTTGTCTCACAAGCATTTGTCACAGCTTCTCAGTATCTCTCAGCAAACAGTTTTCTTTTAATTTTAAATGGGTTTGAATTAAGAAATACAGTTTTTAACACTTTTGATTATATTAGAGGACACTTGACTGAAGGAATCAGGTTTACATTACTGATACTAAAGCGGATAATTATTAATCTGGGATCTTGGGTGGGTATTTCTTTTTCTCTCTCTGATCAATAAGATCCTATTGGTATAAATTGTGAGCTAGGTTGGATTAGGGTAATTTCATTTAGATTAATTCAGACATATTGACAAAGGAAAATTGAACAATTGGAATATAAACTAACATAAACGGTCATCGATTATTTGAAATTGTGTGAAGTGCACTTTAAAGCTCTGGGGATAATAATAATGCACACTAAAAGTTATTGTTTCTTCCGTATCTAACTTGGATTGGGGTTGATATACCTATCTTTCCAAAACATTGAGGTACGTTGAATTTCTTTGTGAAGGTCAGTTGAATTTTAATTAAATTTTGATCAACTAGCTAAAAAAGTTGCAGGAAGAAATTATTGCTGCATTATTTCAGATTTTTCAAGACATGGATGGGCAAGAAAACATAATATTTCAGCCTACAAATCAATGAGAAGAAAATAAATTAAGAGAATACAGCAGAGAAAAGTGTTCCCGTGATCAAAAGAGTAGGAAAATATAAATGAAAAAGGTTAAAGAATACTAATCATTACAATTTTAGAGTAAAAAAAAAAACTACCGAATTGGTGCAAGTGTGAGTTGTCAGTTTGAAAGAGTCAGTGATTTCTTAAATATTCTTAGCATGAGGAAGAGAATAAAATAGAAAGGAGCGATTCGAGAAAAGATTTTCAGGACATGAACATGATATGAGTTGGTTGGTAAAATATTTGTCATCATGTAAGTATGATTCAAGATTACAAAAAGATAAAACCAAGAGAGATATCAGCAAACAAAGAAAAAATAGAAACATGCAACATGAGGAACAGAGGAAAATGTTTTGGAAAAAAATTGAGATGGACGATTTAGAATTCAAAACTAATAGTATTTAAGCTTGATTCGGATTTTATGTTACTGAATGAGGGAAATTGTTGATTGTTTAGATGAAAAAATATGACACACATGGAAGATAAAGAGAAAAATAGAAAGGCAAATCGTCAGGGGCTGCGATAGATGAAAAATTGTAAAAACATAAAAATCCTTTTACCTGGCCAGCAGGCAAAGGAGGTTGCGATCCACTGCCACCCAATTGATTTTTCATGAGCTGCATTTCGATCACATTCGATAGGAGGTCTTTCACGGTTAGGGGAGACGTCGACGCTGGCTTGTCCCCGCCGTTACCACTTGTTTCTCCTACCCCTTCATCTGCCGTCTCCTAGAGCAGAGTAATCATCACTCACTACTACCACCATTAACAACAGACACTGCGAATTTGATGCTTCGCAAATTTCGAACCGTTACGAGTCCATTTGAGAGGATTAAATAATGACAGATCAGTCTAAGAAGTTCACCTTGTGTGACCATTCACAGATAGGGGACTTTAAGGATGGGAGCAAAGTTTTTAGTGGGGCAGTTTTTTAAAGTTGAATGAAAACATCAGAATTTTCGTTTGCAACAAGGAACACTCGGTTGTTTCTAAATCTTCGACTCATTAGAAACATACAACTGGTAACATAACTATGCACCAAGCTAAACTTGTGTTTAAAGTTTAACCCATCTGCAAATTGAGCTGTTTAGCAAGAATAAAAATATTCTGTTGCAGCTGAAAATTGAAATAATTTGGAGAATTAGAAGCACGAAAAATAAAAGAGGCCCATTTCTCCAAAAAAACCTGAATCGAATCTTTAGAACAAACAATACGAAACCCCCTCCCAATTTTAATCAACAAATTTACGAACACACACAAAACAACAAATAGACTGACAACTGAATTGCACCAAAAAATTAAAATAACAATACACAAATAATGCCAGATCACTTCTGCTTCTGCTGGATGGAAAAAAAAGACTGAAGTGCAGAGGGCATAAAAATAATAACTATCTTGGCATGCTGATCTTATACTTAATCATGCCTTCAGTCAGTAACAGTTAGAGACCCATTACATATGTAACATGAATATCAATATGTAATAAGGAAAAGACCAAAAAATACCAATCCCCTAGTACACCAGTTAAGATTCTGCAAAATTGAGGACAGCTCAAAAAGAATACGGTAGATCACATTGGATAAATAGTCTTTCTTTTTAGAAGATAAATACCAATGTTTCTTTTAAAATTCATGCTTGAAAAATAAATGCATAGCTCACAACAAAAATTCTAAAAAAATTTGAACTAATAAGCTCACAAGAAGAATAATTCTTTCATTTAGAGTTCACTACACGATAAAATCACCTTGGAACTTGAAGATTGGTACTATTGAAACTGTCGGAAATCATTAAAAGACGACAACCACGATTGCAATTGCTCCGAGAGAAAGATTTAAGATTTGCAACTAGTACATTAACTCACTTTAAAAAGATGAAAAGAAAAAAACATCGAACATCAGTGATAGAGGTAAAGAAAGAAAAACATTTACTCCAACAGTAAAATGTACCACAATATCCTTTTAAGATAATATGTGATAAATGTGGACAATATTCTGATGATAAAATCAAAGAGGGGAGGCTGCTTTTAGAGTGCTCATTGCACAGTTTGAGCTTCATTTTTTACTTAAGAAGCAAACTAAAAATTCTGAGAGATGATAGGATGAACTAGAAAGAAACTCACCGTGGCTGAGCTATCATAGTCTTCCTTATTCAGAGGTCGGTTGGTCAGTGTTGATTCTGACTCTTGGGTTGCAGCAGCTTGATTCAATGATGTTGGTGCGGTGGTGGCAGGAGAATTAGACAAGCGATCTTCTAACGGCAATTTGTCACTGGAAGTTAGGGTTGAGCTCTCTGGTGCAGAAGATTCCACTGATGGAACTTTGTCTTCGGACACAGAAAGTCTCTGGGGTGATGAGGCGCTGGCAGTATCACTGTCCAACAACCCAGGGTTGATTTCATAATCACAAGTAGATGTACTTGATCCTGACTCTTCTTCGTCGGTTAAAGCTGGTTTCCTTTCGCGGCCAAAAGCATCGTGCGAGTCATGTGTCTGGAAAAAAGAGATAGATGTTTAGTTATCAACATCATCATTAGTAGGCAAGTTTATATTATGTTTTCTCTTGTGGGAAGGAGGAATATAACAGCTATTGGAATTCAATTGCAGTGAGAAAACATGATTGTATAGTGTTACATGAATTTTTGGAAACCTGGTATTACTAATTTTTGATGAGACTCAATTCAAAGTAGACTTTGAAAAAATTTTGACCTCAGGTCCTTAAAATTTCATCGCCACAACACAAATTAATACTTTGTAGGAGTCAGGATACTCGATAAAATTTTATAACTTGGAAATCAGATTTCTCAAAATCGCAAAAATGTTGCTTTTTGCATTCGACAGAAGCTTCAATCATTGATTTTGGAAATATGGAATAGGACTTACTTTGTTGTACTCTTGTAGAATAAGATCAAGTCCTAGTTTCTTCCGATAGTTAAAGTAAAAATTCTTGCACTGATGCTGGGTTTTTGAGTGACCCACTATTTTGCACACTTCCGACCATCGAGTTCCATGTTCCCTCATTCCTGTTTTAAGCAGCTCTGTTTCTTCATCAGTCCACCTTAATACATTGTTGGCTTCATCTCCATTACTGTAGGGTGATAATCGCCGAGCTATCCGAGTAAAACATGCCGAGCAACATTTTGTTACGTTTGGGGGAATTTCTGAAAAATATAAAAGCTCTCGGTGAAAATTTGTCACAGGAAAGACTATTTATTCAAAAAAGTAGAGAGGAAAAACAGTTCATGACACAGATTTTTTTTCTCAGCATACCACATCCAGTTTCAAAGGCACTTAGAATGGTTGGTATGAATATGACACCAAGCTGCATTCAACAAACCTCTTTTGTTAATTTTTCATGTGCTTTCAAGATTGATCAATGATCATAATTGGGTGCCACAATGATTGGACTCGCATCAGAAGACTTAACTTTGGGTCCAAGAAAAACAGCTCTTCTAGATTAAAAAGTCAAACAGAAATTACTCTTAAGAAGGGTCGTGGAGATAACTCTAAAATTATCAAAGTAGATATACCATTACTTGTTCCCTTCAAATTTAAAACAGCACTTGTAAAATATTATTTTCGACACGTTTTATCTGAGAGTGCAGTATACAAAGGTAAAATTTACTGATGAAGTTTGAAAGTTCTTTCCCTCTTTCCCCTAGATACTTTTAGGAGAAACAAAAATATTTTTAGGAAAAACTTATTTTAGACATTTCCGACAGCCAGAGACTATTCAATTACTTGCTTTGGATACAATTCTTAGTTCAAAATCACATTGACGAAACTTACGAAATTCTGCTATAATTGGATCCTTAATGTTTTTTGGTAGTTCATTCCACTTGCCAGCCAAAGATCTGAGCCTTTTGACCCTGTTGCCCTTGTTTGGGCACGAAGGCAGCGGACATGGAGGATTCCTAGACCTAACAGCTTTACAGTGACATTGATTGCACACACGCGCCCCTGCCAGCACATCTTCTTCCCTGAGTCCGTATTGCGAAGCTTGAGATTTCAGCAGAGCTCTCGATCCGACGCCTTCCGTTTTACAAATTGCACAAGGGTAAACGCCACCTTTTTCGTTTGCTGAAACAGAAACCAAGAACACCATCGTCAGTCAATTATAGACATTTCAAATCGGTGAACAACAGTTTTTAAAATTATGAAGCAGACCTATGAAAATTTGAGGAGATTCTTTGAAAGGTGGCTGTGCCTTTCCAGGATATGTTGATATTTTTTTTTCTGTCTCTTCTTGACGACACTTCGGACACACTTTAAAAATACGGCTTTAATTGCTGATTACTTATGGAGGATTTTGTAAGGGCATTAGTGCACTGCATTCAGAGCAGGGAACAACGGCTCTTTTGATAGGCACTTTGGGCCGATAAAAACCATAGAGTGCATAGTCGTAATGTAAGTGGGAGAGCTGGCACCACTTTTACGCATTTTCCAGGTCCCAAATTCCGAGATTCCTATGCGGCGCCAGGTCCCTTTTTTGACACATAATCGATTGTTTGCGATACACGGGGACTTGGCCGTATCCCACACCGCCATTTTGGATCGAATATGTATCGAAAAAGTGACCCCGCACACCGGGCTCGGAACTCGTCGAGCAGAACATGGCGCTAGCTCTCCCACTTACATTACAACTCTATGTGCTCAATGATAAAAACAAATTGTGTATCGCAGATTGCGACGTTTTGAAGACGTTGCTTAAGGTTCTTACGAAATATTCTATGATCAACAAGAGAATAACGAGGAAAAATTCCGAGAAGTGACGTTCATCAGTTATCATTTGACAGACTAAAATGTACCTAGCAATCTGCGACATGACGAATGACGTCACTTCCTTCCAAACTTGTCGACTAAAATCATTTCAAAATCTCAGTTGATATATTTTTGCAGGAAAGAGCGTAATGCTTTGAAATTGTCTCGGTATATCTTACACACTGGAAAAAAAACACATTGGATCTGGAGTCCAGACTCTTGTAAAAATAAACAAGAAAAAATACTCTTGATTCAATCGGATTTTAGCTTGAATCAAAACGAAATCCGCTTAAATTAAGAGGCGTGGTTCTTGATTTAGGCTAGATTCTGATTGAATCAAGAGTACTTTTTCCTGTCGATGTTTTTATAAGAGTCTGGGCTCTAGATCCAATGTGGGTTTTTTTCCAGTGCAGGGAACGTGCAAAAAAACTCCATTAGTTATCCGTCAATAAGGTGTAATAACGAGAAAACTGCAACGTCGCAAATCGGGAAACGTGTACACCGATTTTCACCGCTGGAACACCTGAAATTACGGTTACGAGCCACCGCGCCCGCGTCGACGCCGGCAAAAAAGCCAAGAGCAGCGGGAAAAATTCGGGGAAAAGAGAGAGAGCAGAGCAATTAGCGGTAATTGCGGGATTCAGGGGCGAATTGGAACGACAAAATTAATGTAATTAGAGGTATAATTGATGCATGACTAATCCGTATTTACAAATAGAAGCGACGCTGGGCGGGAGGGGGGGTGGGCTTCGCGTCGAGTACGTGTTAGGGGCCGACGGCTGCGAGGAGGGGTTGGCGAAGTTTGCAAAACGCTGATCCTCCTCTTTCTCGCAAAGGCGCATCAGCGTTAATTTTTCCTGCGTTGCCGGATTTTCGGAATCGGGAAATTTTGAGAAAATTCGACGATTCATGGGAATAGGTACTTAATACCAAAAGGCTCAAAATCGACGTATAGTGGCCTCCACTTAAAAGAGATGTTCAGTGATTATTTTAAAAAGAAAACACCTAAAAATTTCAAAGCCGGAGTTTTTTTATTTGCAGTGTAAAAGACAGAGAGTCGAGAAAAAGTTACAGCTAGAGGACCGTTCTTTTGAACAAACGCAGACAAAATCAACAAATAGCGTCGAGACGCGAAAAAAACAGGGACTAGCAAGTTTACTGTGACAGTTTTTCCGAATTCAAAGATATTCGAAAACTTTCCGCGGTGTTACAAACTCAATCGAGTGTCATAAATAATGCGTGAGTGCCGCATTAGTCCACAAAATGTGCTATGTGTGGCAGATGGGAAAGAAATTTTACAGCTTCTTTCAGAAACAACATATTTGCAACTGATGCCGTTGTGCGAATTGGTCCTTCCATAAACTTGTCACTCCCTTTCTGTGAGCTTAACTTTGTCCAAAACTTGTTATAAAAGCGAGTACAACTATTCGAACACGAAGGAGCCCATTTGGTCTACCCTCCCGATCGAAGGCGAATCTTCCGGTAAAAATTTCGAAACGTCGCAGTGCGGAGCCGATAAACATTATTCATAAACTTATCCAGTTACTTCCTTTCTGTGAGCTGAACTTCGACAAAAAACTGTTATGAAACAGAATACAACTATTCGAACATGAAGGAGCCCAATTGGCCTACCCGCCCGATTGAAGGCGAATTTTCCGGCAAAACTATCAAAACGCTGCAGTGCGGAGCCGATTATGCCTATAACTAACTGGGGAGGAAATGGCGAGGATGCGTGTGCGGCAACAGGGGGAATCTCCCGACAGCCGGGGCTGGGGACCGGCTTGAAATGGAGATGGTGTAGAGCGGGCTGCGGCGCTATATTATTCAGGCGCTGCGCTCCAGAGCGGCATGCTCGCATGGGCCGTGCGGTCGACCTGTCCTTCATCGCACTAATTTCGCGCCTCAATTTCACACTTCCGCTCCGCCCGCCCGTGACTTGCACACGCCTCAACTTCTCACGTGCTTGACCATCGGCCTGGCCGGACCCTCGGGATGATACGATCCAACGCAGCCTCGGAGAGAAAAAAAAAACTCGGTCACTGCACTGCGTTGAGGCTTTTCTACGGTTGGGTTTATGACAGCTTTTCAAACAAAAAAACTTCGGGGCCCTGGCAAACTTGACTTTCGGGGCTTCATCGACGAGTTCGTCATGGAAAATCTGGGACTGTCAGGCATTTTTAAAAAGAAATTTAAATACAATCAAGAACGTAAAAAAAGATTTGAAGGCCTTTGAGAATGAAAAGAACTCCCCTTAAGAAAGAGAGGTTGTCATTACTATACTTCCATTTCCTGCGATACATTCGTAAGAAAGGAAATACACGACTTACGGACGACGCTATTAAACATTTGGATTACATTTCGCAATAAGGAACCACTATTTCTGGCCCATTTTAGAAACAACAAACATGTCATTGGTTTCTCTATGCAGTTATGTGCTTTTAGGGAAGAGAAAGAGATAGCGATTGCGGTTCCTTAGAGAAAATATAATCCATTTCAGTGGGTTCCAAAAAAATTGAAAAAAAGAACAATCTTCCGAACAGTCTTAGATCAGTTGGACTACATTTTGCGATTAGGAGGTATAAATTCTGGTCCAGTTTAAAAACAACGTACGTACCACAATTTTCCTATGCTCATAAGTGTTTTTTCTGATGAGCCAGAAATTTTAGTTCCGAATTGCAAAATGCAGTCCAGTTGGTCTCGAACGATCGACTGTTCCGAGGAGTTTGCCACCACGTACCAATGAGAATATGCTTCGGCTTCGCTTATGAAATTATAGCGCGATCATCTGAGCCCTAGATGAATATCAGAACTCTGTCAAGTCGCATTTCTCTGAATTCCGTTATCAAAACCCTCCGCAAAAGCGCTAAGGGCTCGAGTATATACCGACTGCGTCGCCAACTCAACGATGGACCGATCAGGGTTGATTTTACCGATCGGAGATGGATCCCCGGAGGACCCGTCGAGGGCGCGAGGGGGAGGAAGGGGGGACGTAAGTTGCGGGGCAATTCAAGCGTGCGGCGATACTCGAATTACGGCGAGTCGGGAGCTAATTAAGCCAACCTAAGCTATTTGTATCTCCGCGGTTTTGTTTGCTCCCTGTTATTTGCCGCCCCCGCGTTTCAGCGACTGCTCCTCCAACCCCCCTCGCCCCCTGGAGCTCGCGCTAATCTTACCCCTTTCGGGCGCTTCCCTCCGCGCTATCCGGCCGCGGTGTTCGGCCGAGGCTCGATGATTCGTGCTTTTTCATCGGGGGATATTGATGCTGAGTTATTTGTTCCCGATTCTATTCGGAAGATTCATGCGTCATCGAAATCTGCGGGTGCGAATCGCACGCAGTTTCTCGATTTCAATAAAACGCTCGACGTACACTGGAAAAAAAAAAAACATTGGATCTAGAGTCCAGACTCTTGAAAACATTGACAAGAAAAAATATTCTTGATTCAATCGGATTTCCGCTTGAATCAAAACAAAATCCGCTTAAATTAAGAGGCTTGGTTGTCGATTTAAGATAGATTCTGATTGAATCAAGAGTACTTTATCTTGTCGATGTTTTTTTTAAGAGTCTGGGCTCTAGATCCAATGTGTTTTTGTTTCCAGTGTAAGATTTTTTTTGGAGAAATATTCTTCGGGTATTTTTGAAATAGTATATCGGTCTATGGTTTAAAATTTACGGCTATCCAAGGAGTTAACAATTCAAAGATGTTCCACGGCGTTACGAATCAGATAGGGGTACTTTACGCCATGATACGAGCGCCGAAAGCGGGCTACCGGGAGCTAAAATGGCAGTACCCATAATGGTGTTACCGGGGAGAGATGAGGGCATTATGCGGTAAAACATACAGTATATTTTCCTTTATTACAAGAAATTTTCATCGTTTTAAATGACAATCAAGTGTACTAACATTTCAAAACCGTGAGTTGAAGAACGCTGACTCCGCTAATTCGAATATTAGAGCCAGTCTCGGTGCGGCCAGCGCGATACGCTTATTGGCGCCTACAAGACTGCATGGATACTTCACGCATTGCGCGTACGGACCGTAGTGAACGCGCAATGCGTGAAGTATCCATGCAGTCGGTTACGCGCAAGGGTTTGCCGCTTGGAGGTTGCCCTATTGATTCTGACAGATGTTGACGGAATTTCCGGACTTTTCCGGACAAATTTTGTTAGCCCTCCCACCATGCTTAAATACACTCGGGACGAGCCTCGAATAGAACTTTTCAAGTCCGGCTTAGCGCTTCTGATTGGCCGGTGGTGCGGTTAGGACTCATCGATGGATGCTGCACCTCTATCTCAGTACAAGAGCCGACAAAATCCGGCC